GAACAAGACACATTCAGAGGAAACATCATATGGTTCGTGATATAGTAAAGCGAGGAGATATACTTGTGGCTAAGATTGCATCGGAACATAACCTTGCTGATCCATTCACAAAGGCTTTACCGATCAAGATGTTTGATCGTCATATGGAGAACATGGGAGTTAGATGTGATTTGAATTTGCTATAAGTGCAAGTGGGAGCTGTTAGGATATGTGTGCCCTAGCATAGCAAATTCTAATTTTGGATTGTAAAAGTCATGGTTTCTTATTTGGATATTATTATTAAAGCATTATACAATTGGTGAATGGAATGTATTATTTTTCGATTCTTTATGGAATTGATGGTGTCTGCTTGATTACAAAATATATTTATATATGTATGTAATGGCAATTACTACTATAATATAAATTAGTAATCATAAATGGTTTAAAGTCGGTAATTATGGATGGACATTTAATTAGTTAAGACTTAAACCGAGTCCACGATAGATTGAGATATATTGCGAGAGCTGTCGTATGCAATTGCTCTCTATCACAGTCATGGCTTTTGACTCTCAAGCATAAGAGAAGTATAGACTCTTTTATTAATTAATAATTACTTTGATTTGTTCGGCGGATACCTCGGGATCCTTAGATCGACACTTTGGGTAGTTATGTAATTAATAATTAGAGGTCTATATTCTCAATATTTGCATCAGTGCTATTTGTATTTATTTTGTTTTGATTATGGTTGATCACAAATTAAATTCGAAGGCCATCGTATGTTTTAGACAAATGTTTTCTATATATATTTATTTAATAAATTATTATTATTTTTTGTCAAATAAATATTTTATTGTGATCGAGCCGGAAATAATCAAAGTTAACAAAATAATTATATTAATTATGTTGTCGGATTGATGACTTTAATTATCCGATAAATAATTAAGCACAGAGGGGTCAAAGTGTAACATTGACTTAGAGGTTATTTACTATTTAATTGGAGTGCAATTAATTTCTTTGAGTGGAGTAGAAATTAATTTATGAATTAATTGAATTGGGTCCATGGTTTAATGGACCGGACCAATTATTAATTTATAGGAGCCAAGAAAATAGTAAGCCCAAAAGGATTCTCACCAATAGCCCAAGTTGATATTGGAGTCATGTTAGGATTGAGAAAGTTGAATTAGAGATGGAGAATGATTTATTGTTTCCTTATTCTTATTTTTATTTTGCCTATATATACATGAGTTCATGTATATTTTAGGTGTGACTTGGAGAACAAGAAAAAGAAATACACTTTCTCTCTCTAGATTTTAGGGTTTTGTTTTCTCTTCTAGAGGAGGCTACCACCAGCCTAAATTCCAAGGTCATTTATCAAGGCATATTGGTGATTCCTAAAGGGAAGATAATAATCGAACGGAAGGAGAAAGGATCTTGCTAAAGGGATCTACAATAAATGAGAATATTCACTTTAGAGGAAAGTTCAAAAGGTTTACTCAGACCTTTGATGTAAATATTCAATCTGTTTATTGAATTATGCATCATCTTTTATTTATCTTTGCATAAAACTTGTCTCTGTGTGATGAATCAAGATCCGTGATTGCAAATCCCTCAAAAGTTTTAAAAACTTGCACGTTTCCCAACACAATCAAGGGATGCTATGATGAAATAATATTGATAGTGTTTATACCTCATCCTCTAGCCGAAAATACGGAGTTGCACCGGACAGAATAACGTATTCCCCATTGGCCTAACGGTCCATAATCATCTCAGCTACGCAATAGGTGCAATCCAAGTACATCTTGGATCCATATGCAACTATACCTTCCTTCTGCATTGCGCATTATATTATTTCGGGAAAAAAAACAATCAATTCAGCACATTAGGTAGTGTATCTTTTTCTCGTAGATACTCGCAAAGCAAGACAAAACCAAATTGATATAGGGAGAGAACTACATATGTGTGTGTGCGTGCGCGTGTGTTATATATATGTGTGTCAGTGTGTGTATTATATATATGTGTTTCAGTGTGTGTATAGAGAGAGAGGGAGGGAGAGAGACGATGATCTATCTAATGAATCAAACGTACATTGCGTGTGACATCGTGTGTGACTGCAATCTTGGAAGCTTTTGGCATGCGGTGGCCACAAGAGTTGCAAACGAGACTGATCGGGAGTTTGGTGCAGGACATGTACTGATTGGGACCAATGGTTTGATAAGGTCGATGGAGAGGAACCCTATACACGCTTTGCAGCGTCCAGTGGGAAGGACCTGAATCGAATGCCATTCAAATTGCTTCTTCGGATTCTTCTATCACGTACAGATTTGCTTGTCTTCTCCTTAGACTCAGTTTGGATTGAATGATTTGGAGAGACGTACTTGCAAAGAAAAGAAAAGAAAAGAAAGAAGATTATAGTTTGTGTTTGGATTGAGAGAAAAGAAAGGATTTGCAGCGATAACTACGGCTTCCTAATACTATCCCTCCAAATCTTTTACAGTATAACTTATTCTTCCTAAAACGAGAAGATTAATTTGAAAAGAAAGAAAAGGGGTTTAAGTAATATATTCATAATATCAAAATTACCCTTAACAATTAAAAGACTGGCCTTATTTGGGGGAACTTTCAGTTTTTAAAATTCCTTTCACTTTTTTATTTATTTATTTATTTTTTTAATTTTCTTGACTACATGATAGAAGTTGAAGGAGATGGAAAAAGAAAATAAAAGAAAAATAAAACGAAAGAAAGAGATGGCAGCAAAAATTTTCCATTTTTATTCTTATTTATAACTATAAATCACTTTAACATGTAGCCTTCAAAAAAGAAAGAAAAAAATTATATATATATATATATATATATATATATATATATTGAGAAAAAGAAAAGTTATTTAGAATTCTACATATGGTTGAATTTTAGATAAGAGTTCATAAATCTTTGCAACTCCTCAATCTATTTATTCTGAATCTCTTTTCAACAATTTTTTTTTTTTTTTTAATAAAAAACTGTGAAATTTTGCTTAGCGTTATTTTTTAATTTTTTGAGTAGAAAACGAACCAAGAAGATGATATAGAAAGAGAAAGACAAAAGTTTGTAATGAAATTGAGAAATGAAAATAGGTTATATAATGAACAATATAAGAATTTAATATCTATTACTTAAAAAAGTGTGTACCTACAGTACCTTGCGGGAAGTTCAGGAAACATGTTTTATTAACTTTGGTCAATCGAGCTTTTAAACCACTTAGACTTTTTAAAATTTATAAAAAATTTATCAAACGCTGTTTATTATTGACAAATGACCTGCTAGACTTAGAAGCACGATTTGAGGCGCCCTAAATTTGTTATGCCATTTATGTTCCTATATTATAAGACTTGTGAAGGTCTCCGTTCCATTCATTCGCAGCCCATAGAAGAACACAACATTCTCTTCTCCAGATCCGGAGTCTCTCTCCTCTTCTCCAAGTCCAGTCACTGGTCCAACAATTTTTTTCCTCTAATTTATCAAATCATAATATAGCTGCTTTGATTGTGCTCTTCAGCCAGTTTGAATTTGTAGTCAACTTCAGAGGAGTTATATGCAGATAGCAAGTTAACTTTATTAACTATATTACTTCATATATGAAAATATAAATATACAGGTTCTTTTTATCTCATATAAAAAGTCTTTTCTTTTCTTAATTTTTTTCCCTTACTATCTTAATGTTTCTTTTATCTTTCATATAAAAACTATAAATAAAAAAAACAAGCAAATATGAATTTCAATGCAATTTTTCTCTTCTTCTCTTTTCTTTATCCAAATTTAAAACCTATTTTTTGACCTACTTAGAAACAATTTATCTATTTATTTATTCTTCCTTTTAATTGAAATTATGCAATTGTATACAATAAATACGTTCGTGCCTTCTGATGGAACTAGAACCATTTTAAGTTAAATTTGCATATTCCAGATTCTCTAATTACCTTTATAATTCTTGGAGGTTGCTCTCTTGAAAGTGACTGACGCACTGGACGTGGAAAAACCTATAAACTTAAATTTTTTCGCTTGCTACCAGGTTAATGATTATATGAGTTTATCATAATGTAAATAAAAAAGGATAAGATAGTAATTTAGTTATTATCTTATCTTTTCTTTTCTCAAAATTATTATTATTTCCTTTCTTTTCTTTCATAATTTAACCCAACATGAATATATTATTACTATCATTTTTATTTCTTTTCTTTTCTTTCATTTATCCAAACAAAGACTAATTCTTCCATCCTCATTCTCTGCTATTATATATATGCTTTTTCATTTCGAGCCAACTACAAGGGTCGGTCCATGAGAGACTGCCAAGCCCAGACACAGCCCAGCCCACGGTCCGTTATATTTGATACAGAGTAAATGGTAAAGTGCAATGAAAAAGAAAAAAAAAATCTTAATGCTCAAAAAAGGCCTCTACATTTTTTTGAATTGAGCAATAAGAAAATATTTTCTTAGACTGAAATATTTAAAATACTCTTAAAGTAAAATAAAAAAATAAAACACTTATATGAACAAATTTTATTAAAGGGGTGTAGGATTTTAATAAATTTAAAAATTAAAAATTTTGCTCAAAATTGATGACCAATGTGCAATTTGCTCCAAATTTTGAAAATACAAGGATTTATATGTAGAATTACCCAACAAAATATTACCAGCGCTCTCTTTAGAAGTGCTGGTATAGGTGTAATGGTACCAACGCTTTTTATAGGAGCGCTAGTATACGTGTAATACCAGCGCTTTTGTAAGAGCGCTGGTATACGTCTAAATATTACCAGCGCTTCTAATAGAAGCGCTGGTATAGGTGCTGGTATAGGTCTAAATATTACCAGCGCTCCTATTAGAAGTGCTGGTATAGGTGTAATATCAGCGCTTTTTTTAAAAGCGCTGGTATAGGTGTAATGGTTATAGTACCAGCACTTTTTGTAGGAGTGTTGGTATATGTGTAATACCAGCGCTTCTTTTAGGAGTGCTAGTATAGGTGTCCCCATTTTTTCCGTTCCTTTCATTTTTTCCCTCCGCTGATTTTATATAGAGAGAATATTTGGGCCCTAAAACTACGTCGTTTTGTGGGGAATTAACATTGCTTCTCCACTTTCCCATTTCATTTTGCAAAACCCTAATCCTTTCACTTTGCAATAGCCCTAATCCTTCAGCCGTTCTCCACTTCCCATTCCTATTCCAGACATCATCTAGCCGTCATTTAGCCGGGAATGCGGAAACAGCAATTCGGAGGAAACAGCCAATGCAGACTTTGAAGCAATTCGGCTTCGAGTGCGTAGGGGAAGAAGTGCCGTCATCTAGCCGGGAATACGAAAACAGCCAAAGCAGTAAACAAGATCCTCCTAATTTCACGCGAAGGGGAAGAAGTGCTTCAAGTGGGTTTGATTTGAGATCAGGTGGGTTTGATTTCACGCGACAACGCATCCTCCTAATTTCAATGATTCTGCAACCACTATTTGATCTCATTCTGTACTTAAGATTGTTGTTTTCAATTTTTTTTTTCTTTGTACAGGAGGAAATAATCGATCTTAGCTTGGATTGTTGGAACAAGTTTTATCTGATTTCGTTTTTCAGGTAATTTCTTTCTTTCTTTTTTTTGTGTTCCAACATTGAGAAAATTTTAACTCTTAAACTTTAGCTTGGATTGGCATCGGCTGCTTTTCTTCTCTGTTCTTCTTAGTTTCCCTTGTTCTCTGTTTTCTGTAGGGGTTGAAGTTATGGTCACTGTCCCAATCGTCTTAGTCGTAGTTGCTTGATAAATTAACATGGTACCATTCAATCCCCACATTCTCCGTTGAAGAATTGTACCAGTAATTATCCATTGAAGTTTGCATGCGAAAGTAGAGAGTTTTTGAGACCATCCTTCCTTCCTGCACCTTCTTCTAGGGTTTTTGGATTGGGAAAGAGTTGAGAAAGCCAGGAGTATTAGCAAATAGCACAACCTTTTTATAATAATACCAAATTCCAAATTGGAATAGGAATAGGACTTGGAATTTACGGTAGATAAAATTAATAATAATATTATTATTACTATTTTTTAATGTTCCACACCCACTTCTTAGATGAAATTAATTACTAAATCGAATAAATAAATAAATTGTAGTTATAGATTGTTAGGCAGATATTGAACATGAGATATAACTTCTCTTTTAACTTGATCTCTTATTAATTTTTCAGTTGTTTTCAATGGAAATGACTTTTTCCATATAACAAAAGTTTTGGGTATTTTAATCTCCAAAAAAAAAATAAAAAATAAATAAAAAAAGTTACTGTATGAATACCTATAGCATAAAGAAGGAGAAGATGAAATAAAAAGGTTAAAAGTAAGCATTGATATAGTATAAAGATTAATAGAGAATACCCAGTTAAGTTCTTCTTTTTACAGAACAACAACAGTACTTATAAGTTGGCAATTTCTTTAATCATATTGTATACTTTAGCACAATGTCTGGTACCTCAAAAGACTACTAATTTGATTTTTCCTCTTCTATAACGACTTGATTACATTTTTTATTAAGTGTATACTTTAGCACAATGTATTAAAAGAACTACTAATTTGATAAAAACTTGATTTTTTTTTTTTTTCTCTATTTACTTCATTTAAATCCTTTTGTTTTTGTCATGAAAGCTTAGGTATATATATATATATATATATATATATATATATATATTACACATGCACATGTATATTTAAGCATTACATGTTCATAGCTTATTGGGTTTTCAGTTCTGGATGTTTCATAGTAGTATGTCATGGTAGTTCAAACTTTTTTTTTTTTTTTTTGGTAGGAAAACATAAGAGAACTTCAAAAAAGTTACTCTGACTCGCCTATTGGCAACTCCAATGATTTATTCTCTATTGTGAGGGGAGAAGAGAGAACTGGTCGTGTGCAGTTGCTTGGCTTCGGGCCTACACCAAGCGATGTTTGGGGGCCCTCGCCTAGTAAAGCTGAACTGGTTAATAATGCTAAAAAATCTCAGGAGGAGGCACGTGCTACATGTGTAGAGTTGCAGGAGATGATTTCAAAAATGCAAGCCGACTATGACAAGAAGTTGGAAAATTTACGAGCCAACTACGAGGACAAGTTGGAAAATTTACAACAACAGGTGGCTATGCTAATGCAGATACAACAACAAAATTGTAGTGGACAGGTATATTTATTATTAGTTTTACTCTTTACTAAATATATGTTTACTTATGCCAAGATTTCATGTATTTTGTTTTGTTATTTTGAAGGATTCTAATTCTTTAAATGCTCCTCCTAGAGTATCCCCAAATCCATTTTCTAGTCGTGATGCCAATTCAGTTAAGGTTATGAACTTTTAATTTCTCTTATATATATGTTAAATTTTCATTTATTATAATGAGCCCTTAATGAATTTATAAAAAATGTAGGGTAATTCAAATCAAATGGGCAAGAAGACTTGTTGAAGTTGAAGTTGAAGTTGAAGATGGGGTCGTGGCTGTGCTTTTTGAATTTCCTTCGCCTTGGATGGGTTCTTTTTGAAAAACTTGTACTACATTTGTTAAAAATTCTTAATTCTTTTTGTTTGACATTTAGTACCTTTATCTAGACAATTTGGATGGTATTTTCATATTGGCAGGTTAACTTGTGGTTGTATTTTTTGCTAGCTTAACTTGTGGTGGTATTAGTAGTCAATTTCGATGGTATTTTTCATATTGGCAGGGTTAACTTATGGTTGTTTGTAAAAACAATTTGGATGGTATTTTTATATTAACTTGTGTTAGGATGCATTTAGTAGTCGTGAAGAAATTTTTTTCCAAAAACAATAATGGGAAAAAAAAAATGTAAATAATTTTACCAATGTTCTTTTAAGAAGCTTTGGCATAGGGAAAAATATATATATATTAAAAAAAAAAAAAAATTCAATAACCCTTTACCAGCGCTTTTTAAATGCTCTTTACCAACGCTTTTCCAGAAGCGCTGGTAAAGCCTACTGACACTGGATTTACCAGCACTTTTTAAGGCTTTTACCAGCGCTTAAAAGCGCTGGTAAAAATCAAAACTGTTGTAGAGGTTCACATAAAAAGACATCCAAAGTCTATTAATAATACTCATATTTTTTAGGTGGTTGAAAAAGGTATAAGAAAAGTTGTATGGCTTGTTAATCAAAAGGGGCTAGAAATTGCTTGGTATAGCAAGGTTTATGGTTGGGACTAAAACATATAGTTCCTAGAATATTATAAAACATAGAGTTGCTAGAAATGTTAGACAGCAAATATTTCACTGTTAAGAGTCAAATTAAAGGTGAAAGGGTAAGAAGAAGAAGAAATTTCATGGAGAATTCCTTTACACTCAACCCTTAAGATAAGGTTGAAAACATAAAATGCCGGTTAATCACATTCTTACAACTTTAATTCATAATAAAATAGAGAGATCACACAGATATTCATAGTCTACCGTAGTCCTACTACTTCTATTAGGACAAAGATTCCAGAAAACAAAATTTGACAATTAAGACTATTCTAAAAACACCATACAGTGACCTAATCAAATGAAAAATAATTATCCCCACCAACTAAAATTTTATCCTTGTGGCTTGCCATCTTTAGTGGGAATGATATTTCGTTTCCTTTTCTTTCTTTTAGAGTTGCTGCTGCTGCAACCAGCTGCAATTGAAGAGATAATATAATCCACAACTCCAGAAGAAGAATGATTTCCTGTCATGGAAGAAAACAATTTATTTGTTGTCAATATACAAGTAAATGAGATACCCATAAAGAAATTGATCGTCTACTAATTCTGATAATGGCCATACTAACTCATTTTCCAAAAGATGATAAAGAATACCAACCACTGAATAGAAATTGAGACATCATAATACTTGTAAATATGACTTTTTGAACTAGCACATGCAATTGTTTGAAGTGACGAACAGGAAAGGAAGAAAACAAAGGAGAGCACAAGTCAATTTCTTACTTAATTGTTTACTTTGCCAGGTGAATAATGCAGACAGTTTCGTAGTTTATACTATTAACATTATTATTATTTTTTAGCACTAATTGACATTATTTACTCCACCACAAATTCACAAAAAAAAATTGTGGTTCCTTCTGTAAGCTTGTTGCATAGTAGAGAAAAAATGTCAACACACTCGTAGAAATAGGGGTGCACATGGTTCAGTTTAGACTGGTCGGGAAGTATTTTGAAACTAAACCGGTCCTAACTGTTTCACAAAACATGGAATCAACCCGAACCATGACAACCAATGGAACTGAACCAAATCGACCGCGTGAGGAACCGGTTCTGTTCCACTGTTCTAGTATTAAGGGTGAACTGAGAGTGAATGATCTCACTGAGATTTCAGATCTTGTTTCTCTCTCTCTCTTTACGCAAATCAGATATTATTAAGCCACCAAAACAATTGAACAAACTCCAAACACCAGGCTCAAAGGATTACAAATCAACTCATTAAAACGAAGGATTAAAAAATACAAACAGAAAGAACTCATTTCAAAAATCATTAGCAGGAAACAATAACAAGAGATCTGAACTCTTTAACTTAACGGACAGAAGCAGAAACCCTATGCAAAAATGCCTGCATCGCCAAAGCATCTCGAAATTTCTCCTCTTATAATTCTAGAAATCCAACACGTACACAATGACCAAAAATGGAAGCCATTGAGACCTGGTTTCTGTAAATCTGAGAACTGATTTACATTCTGTAGGTGTGTGTGTGAGAGGTTTATATTCTGTAGACTTAGTCCAACGTGTTATCAAAAAAGCATATCCATCAAAAGCATTTTGGCTTATCCAACGGGTTATCAAAAAACTAGAAATTGTATTTTTTTTTATCACAAGAGAACATATTAAAGTACATAGAATTACCACAAAGGATGGAATATGTTAGCAGACTTCTAACCAAGGTACAACCATCTTTTATATTTCTCCAAAAATCCTTGTTACAAAATTGCTGTATCAAATTTTAAAATGTAAAGACTACTTGCAGAGTTCGCATAAGGAGAAAAACACGCCAAATGATACCTGCACTAATTTGTTTAGCCGATCCTCTATGTGACCTTCCAAGTGAAATTTTTTTTTTATTTTGTGTGCACTTAAGTAATTTAAGTAATTTACCCACGATTTCTTTCTTCTGGCCAATACTTTAGGGCAAACAAAACTGGAAATAAAAATAAATATATTGTTTTAAAAAAAAAAAAACTGACAAGGTTGAACTTATTATTCTATCTAATTATATTTCTAGATTATTTTCATGAATAAAACAAAAAATAATAATAAAAAGTCCTATGATTTTAAAAATCATTCGCTGTGCGATGAAAAAAAAGAGAAGTTTTTTTTGTATTCTCTAAGTAAAAACAAAAAGGAATTTAAATTTTAACCATAAATGTTTGGTGTTTGTGAGAACCATGTGAATCACCGACTGAATCGGAAGTGCCCTTTCCCTTCTTTGTTTGTCTGATTAAGGGGAAAGGGTCCGTTGAGTTACTTCGATCTCTATTTCTATTTGAAAGAATCTTGAGGAACAGGATTTTGTTTCTCCAACTAATACATTTCTACCGATTATATTTCAAATTACTATATTTTTCATCATATGTATTTTCTTTTTTCGAAACAAAAACAATTAAATTATTTGTTGAACTATTTGTCAATGGTAGTATTCTTCAACTAAACCAATATATTTGCAAAAAAATTGAATTTAGTAAAAACAATTAAATTACCGATTATATTTCAAATTACTATATTTTTCATCATATGTATTTTCTTTTTTCGAAACAAAAAACAATTAAATTATTTGTTGAACTATTTCTCAATGGTAGTATTCTTCAACTAAACCAATATATTTGCAAAAAAATTGAATTTAGTAAATTAATTTTTTTTGAAAAATAAATTAAACAATAAAATATCCATTATGGGTTGATGTATTAACTATAGAGGTTAAAAAAATAAAAATTAACTTTTTGAGGCAATAGACCATACAGTTTCTTAATGGATCTATTTCAGTCTTTTCATATGTGTGTGTGTGTGTTTTTGTGAAACAGTAAAATTGTAAACCCTTTAAGACAATTAAAGTTTATATAAGGTACAATGCACCAGGAAAACCTTGGCCCATGAAGAATTACAAAAAAGGACCCATTGGTAAAAGTCCAACCTGCCAAACAATGATCCAATGAATCTGATCGTGGACTTATTAAGGCATGTGCTTGATTTGTAATTTTCAGTTGAAAATTGTACAAAAAATTCATATTTGGTTCAATTTTTCTGAAAATTATTTCTTGAAAACTCAATTACAAAAAATTCTTTTTGGTACAGTTTTATAAAACTCTTTCAGAGAACCGTTTTTTATAATTATCTTAAAACAATTTTATGTTCCTTAAATTCTTTGAGAATTATTTTTAGAATTACAAATATGACTTAAAAAAATTCGAAGTATTGTATATTTTTTAAATGCCATGAAACATTTAATAATTTCTGGTTGATTAATAAATATTGGTGGGTGTATCAAAATTCAAAAGCTTTGAATTTAGGCACCAGTGGCATCCCATTTGTCACGTGATGTTTATACTTTGTATAATTCAGTGGAGGAATATGAGGTTGTATACAAAGAAAAATAGTGTATGGGGGCAACGTACACATGCATTATAAATAGCCAAAGGTCTGTTAGCTTAAATCCACACCAAACAAGGCCATGGCTTCTCGTAATTCCCTTCCAAAAACAGCCACCATCACAACCTTCCCCTTGTTAGCACCGGACATAACAAATCCAAATTGTACAAATTGCTGCCTGCCAATTACCACAAACACAAAAATAGTGGATTTCGTGCTTCCACGGCCATCTGATTGCTTGCGCTTAGTCGAATACCTAGTCAAGTATGCGGTGGCCATTGAACGCACGAAATCCCTTCCTGCAGACGACCCACGTAATTTCATGCAACAAGCTAACGTCCATCGTGCTTATTGTGATGGTGCTTACTACCAAGCTGGGTTTCCAGGCCTTGAGTTTCAGGTACACAAGTCATGGCTCTTCTTTCCATTCCATAGATGGTACCTCTACTTCTATGAAAAAATCTTGGGAAAATTGATCAATGACCCAAATTTCGCTCTGCCATTTTGGAACTATGATGATCCTGATGGCATGCAATTGCCTGCAATGTATGCTAACAACCTTTTTTCACCACTCTATGATCCTCTACGTAATGCAAACCACTACCCACCAACCATTATTGATCTTAATTACAACGGCATTGATAAACCAATACCCGATGAAGAAAAAGTGTTCAACAATCTCTGCGTCATGTATAAAGCAATGGTGACTAGCAACACCGCTGAGCTTTTTCTCGGCAGCCCTTACCGTGCCGGTGTAGATACTGTAACCAAACTTGGCTCGGTCGAGCTAAAACTACATAATACAGTGCACCGTTGGACGGGTGACCCGTTGCAGCCTAACGGAGAGAACATGGGGGCCTTCTACTCGGCCGGATCGAAGAGACCCTATATTCTCTGCTCATCACTCGAATGTTGACCGACTGTGGAACATATGGAAAACCCTAGGAGGAAGACGTACACGTAAAGATTACTCCGATCCGGATTGGTTAAACACTGAGTTTCTCTTCTACGATGAAAATGCGCAGCTTGCTCGT